AGCCACTGATTTCCACAATAGTGTTAATTGCTATTGCATTTTAAGGAGTTCTTTTTTCCAATTATGATTTCCTGGAGGCAGAGCTACATCTTTAATAATTTAACATTGCTTGCAAAAGCTGAGTTGAAAAACCCTATAGCTTCTACTAGTCTCATCATTACTCACTATTATTAAGTAAAAATAAGTGCTCAAGCTTGCAAAATTCTTCTTTTCTTCCTCCTCAGTATAGCTTGATTTGTAGCTGCGTAGGGCTGATCTTGCCAGGCTCTTAAGCAAAAACCACAAGGAAAGAGATAAATGGATTGGGTTGTTTGAATTTCTTAGAGTCAAATGTGTGTTTAAGGGTATTGATGATTTGTATTGAATTCCAGGTTCTTATTCCTATGACTCGCTGCAATTCTCATAAGGAAACTATCAGAGGACAGATGAAAGTCAGAAACCCTGGGATCTACACACTGATATTTGACAACACATTTTCTAGGTAGGTCCTACCTGAGCGTAAAAAGTGAAGTAAACTTGCTTTCACAGGCTGTGCAAGTGTTTAGTTGTATCATTACTCTGCTGTTTGGAAGTAAGTGTAAGAAATTGTTTCCTGCTTGCCAAAAGATCTTCAACCTGAGTTTTGTTTTTTGTTCTTTTTGTTTTCTTCTCCCCACCATAGCAGACTTTAACTTGTTTGTCTCGACCTCTGAGAAGATAAATAGAATAGTCAAAAATGTTTGTAACGAGACGACAGCCTTTGTGAAAAAAATCTTTTTAACACAAGTCATTTTTTTGCCTGAGTGTAAAATGAATTAACTTTTAAGACGTTCTGTCTAGTTGATTTCATCTAACACAGTCATCTTCTTCTTCCTTTTGTTTCTTGACAGATTTATTTCAAAAAGAGTGTTTTATCAGTTGACTGTTGAGCGACCTGTCATCTATGATGGAAGTGATTTTCCATAGCCTTGAATATACTGTGTTATTTTTAATTAAATTTGTACGAAATGCTATTATTTATGTATATGTAAGCATTGTGATTACCACTATTTGAAGACTTTGAAACTATGCAATAGTTATAATGCACATAGAGAGCATGTATACACTAGAAAACAAAGCCTTTTTAGGAACACTAATGGTTCTGTACTGTGTACAGATTGCTCAGAAGCCATCTTGTTTGATTCAACAGGGCAAGTAATGTTCCAGCCAAATTTTTTTCAGTGGGGAAAAAAGTAAGTGTGGAAGTGACTAAATGCAAACTGAAATTCTCTACTGAAAATTGAATGACATTTCTTACGAAAATATCCTTCAAAAGGAAATTCAAATAAAAATACATAATTTGGTTGACCTCTTCACTGAGGAATAAACATACCCATTTCCGTTCTGCTCTACTGTTCTCGCAGTCAGAACAGCAACTATGCAATCCTTCAATCTTTGCAGACATATATTGCAATTCATCTAGAATTTTTTATCTCTTTCAAGTTTTATAAGCAGCAACTATAGAGGTTTTTTATATTTTGAGCTAAGATTTGGTAAGTCTTAACTGGCTTTTATAAATGCTTTGGTCTTTAATACCAGTTACAAAGCAATAAAACACGAAGCAACGATTTATTTCACTTTTGCTCTCCGTACTCTGTAAGTTGTTCCACTGAAATCAGCTCACTTGGTGAGTACCAGTGGCAGAATCAGGTGTATAATTTGTAGAATAAAGTACTACTCACTGTGTGACACTTGGAAGAAGAGCATTTCTGTTCCCTGCTGTAGCACCTTGGTCAGCAGCATTCACAAGAAAGCACAATCTCTGAGGAGGCCAGCAATGTCCTTTTTCTCTGTAGACTAAGTGGAAAGCAGCCATAAGTTTTGAATTGGTCTCCAGAAATCCATCTGAAATTGAATACATATCCAGCACTCACAGAACTCTCCATGGGGTATCTGATTCTACAGCAATAGACTGGTTGCTAAAAGATGGATGTGAGGCATTTACATTTGACGTTTACGTAGTAATAGTTTGAGCTATAGGGAAATTTCTGGGAAAAAAAAATACTGGTTAAAGCTAACAGTTGCTAATCATTCATTCCGTTATTAACAATGTATAAATACACTGATCCAGAAGAAGATTTTGAAAGAATGACTGCCTTTCATGGACCACCTGGACTTTAAGTTGCATGTTCAGGACGTTCTAACAAGGACTTGCACTCAGGGCGGCACAAAGCTGGAATCAGGGCCTTTTCAACGATGCTGTCTGGCTCCTGGATGGTTTACTCTTCAAACATCTCTTCCCAGTATATGTGATGTGCTGTGCTGGGCAGAGGAGTTGGTGAGAGGTGTGCACTGCCTTACTCCTCCTGAGTAACAGGATGCAGTAAGAGTTAGACCCTTCCCTGGCTGTGTGCATGAAAAAGAGGTGGACAAGAAACCAAAGTGGGCAATAAATGACACAAATACAGACATAAATGCTCTGCTCTGAATTATGGCATATTTCAGTGTTGAAGCTATGTTTATATTTAATTGAGCAAGAAGAGTTTATTTATTGCTGAAGAATGGATACTGTATACCGTTTGCTATGCAATTTCACACAGCTGTTACTGAAGTCTGCTGCAGTTTTCCTTTAAGCTTTCAGGTGTGATTTTTAAAAGCATCTTGTTGCTGTTTTACTTAGAATACTAATCTTACTAGGAGATCTTTATTAAAATGCCAAATGTTAGTTAAAGGGATGCCATCAAATGTTTTAGGCCAAAATATGACATCTCTGCTCAGAAGTATTTATCTGTAGTCAGAACCGTTTGACAGGCTTGCCTCTGGATTTCCTCTTTGCATTGTTGTTCTTAAGATTTTTTCATTCAGTAGCAAATATTTTTAAGGCACCATTTATTCTTAAAGTAACTGGCTCTGTGTAGTAGGCCAAATTTTTCCAAGCAAGTTTTTCGTGTAGACAGGCCTGAGGTTTGCAAAAACCTGTGTTTGAGCGATGGGTAATAAAAACACTGGATGATTTTTTTTTAGCATTTGAGTCTTTCTGTTAGCTTTTCTTCAGGTTTTCCTGTCACATGAGAGACAGGAAAACCTGGCTTTTTTGCTCTCTGAAAGAGGACTAAGAGGAGGAGCAAGAACCTGTAGTTTCAAGATAAAAGATTAATGTTTGCTTCTCACAGAGGAGAGCATTTACACAGAAGTTGTTTCAGAAAAGCAGATACTCCATCAGGTAAAGATGCAACAAGTGGACATGAGCTCAGCTGTTGGAAGGAACTGTTCAAGTAAAGGAACCCACTGTGTCACCTGGATGAGGAAGTCTTTTCCACCTCGGGGGCTGTGCAGAGAACACAGTAAAGAACCTGTTCTTGTTACAGAGCTGTTGTGTGACTGTCCCAGATCACTTATTGCTGGAGTCACAGGGCCCCGGTGTAGGACTGCCCACAAGCATAGGTTTGTGCAAGAAACTTCACTCAAGCGCTTTATACCCTCATTTGTAAAGAACCTGTTCATGTGAGGTATGCCTTCAGTGCTGATAGATCTGTTTGCCTACAGAGGTTCAGGTGTTTTATTGCATTGGGCCTTTGGTTAAAAGACCATCCCCTGCAATACAATTAAGAGAAATATTTAAAATCAATCACAAAACTGATTTAAGGGGATGTCACTCCTGTGACCTTTATGTATAAAGAGTGCATAAAAAGTCACCGTATCTAATTGGGTGTTTTTTTCTGGGTGCTAGAATAAAGAAGGCCAATTTGTTTTTTGTTAGGAGGGGATTTATGCAGAGGAAAGAATACAGTTATTTTAAGAAAATGACGTAATTCCTTTATTCAGCATTACTCAATGCTGCTTTATGAGAAATCACTAAGATTTGCACAGTAAGAAGTAGCACCGCTTCAAAAGCCTGAATTTGCTCTTTTTAAAAATTGAAATTGCACTATAGTTTTAATTATACTCAGACACTTATACTGTAACTTGTTCAGAAACATTTTCTGGTTTTAGCTGCCAAAGAATTGCAAACATCAAATTTCACGTTCCACGAGGGGGAAAAAAAGAGGTTTGTGAATCCCAGCATCTGTGCAGTTACAGAGATGTAGACAGTTATGTACTGGAATGTTTCTTGATGCTTTTTTTTTCCTTTTATAACCTCAGGAATTAAAAAAAAAATAAACTTCTTTATCATTCAGCGTGTATGTCTGCTTTGTGCCAGGTAGAGATGAAGATAAATCAGATCTACTTCTAGGCTGGAAAAAAAGTTGGGGAATAAGGAAAAATAAGAAGGTTAGAAAATAAGATTGAGTCCATTTATACTGAACGATTGTGTGAGTGAGAGGCATTCTTTACATATTATCTCTGCTCCTTGCCTTGGAAGGGTTGGAGAAACATCTATTTGCATTTGTAGACTCGGCCCCGTGTAGGCTAACCTGAGCTGCTGGGCCCTCGGAATGGGGACAGGAGTATTAGAGGCCCCACCACCATCAGTCATCACTTCTTTTTTTCAGTTGCTGCTTATTTCTGTGTCCTCGTAGATTTCTTCTGGGGGCTGCAAGCAGAAGCTCAGAGGCACCACTGGAATCAAGTCTCAGCCATGCCTAGCATGGAATACAAGGGAACTGCAAAGACCAAATACATCTGAGCTGCTGTACAGCTCTAAAAGGGAGGCTGTAGCTGTTGAAAGTCTCTGTGTAAATCTCCAATAATCAATTCTCAGTCTTATTGAGCAATGCATCCTCCATGCTAAAGGCAAGATGATCCGAGCCCTAATGCTGTCTTACATGGGATTTTAACCCACCTGTTTCCTACTGTCAATCCCAGTTATTGGCCTTGGCATACCCAGTACAGCACTGCTGTGTGGACCATGTGAAAGTGTATGGCTGCCATGGGGCAATGGTATAATCTCCATTAGTCCTTGAATTGTCACTTTGCAGTCCAAATACAAGGTTTCGAAATTCCTATATCCCAGGCTCAGAAAAAACCAGCTCTAAGGGCATGGAATCTATGGTGTCTGAGCAGAGAAATCACGGAGTGTTGATCCAGGTTGTACCTGGAAATTGTGACTTTAAGTGTATCAAGCTCACATCAGTAGTTCAGGTTTCAGGATGAATACAACCACACTGTGTTATGTGACTTCAAGTGATGTTTGCAGCAGCCATGGCGATCCTTACTGTCCCATAGTTGCTCTGCTCCCTGGAAGAGGCATTCCTGTACCCCCCGGCTGTGTTTGAGGTGGGAGATGCTGTCGGTTGAACAGGTTTTTCTGCAGGAAGTGGCATTTCCTCCTCAGCTCTCATGTCGCTTCCTCTCCTCACACCGCAGACAGGCTGCTGCGATGCTACGTGACAGCCTGATAGTCATGGCCACCTCTGGGACCTTTGAGATACGGAATTAATGACAGTTCAGTGCTACTGGCGGCAGTCCCCACTATGGCACGGCTTTGCATGGTTGAGGAATCTAGGAACGAGGCAGCGGGCTCCTGGCCTACTTGAGGCTCTCGGAAGCTTCCTGTCATTTCGCCAAGACCTCATTTTCTGTGGGTGACTGAGGCAAAACCCGGCTGGCTGACTCACAGGGCCCCAGGAGCAGCTGGCAGTGCTGCTCTGCTCTCTGGTATTTGGAGTGCCTCGTCCTCGGCTGGAGGCCTCTGGACTGTAACGCTTAACAGGTACTGAGAGGTGAAAAGGCGAGGATGGGGCCACACTCCAAAATGCGATGGGACACACAGACAGCAAGGAGGCCCCTGAGGAGCAGCACCTCCGCGCTGAGCCCCGCTGGGAGCGCGCACTGCAGGCGCTGCCTGACTCAGAGCGGGACGTCGTGACCGGGGGACGACCCGGTGCCCTGACCTGCTGAAAGTTCAGCTCCGTGTCGCCAGCCTCAGCAGTTTCACTCGCCGGCCCCGCATGAGAATTTCCCACTGCGCTTCTGCTGAGTGAGGGCACAGCGCTCACCTGTGTGCTGAAACACGGGCGTCCCTCATTGCTGCCTGCTGCTCACAGCCACCAGGAATTCCATGGCTGAAGCTTGCACAGCTGTTTCTAAGGAGGACAGCATTTCGGGAGCAGGGTAAGTCCTTTGTTTGAATTAACGCTATAGAGAGAGAGCAGTACTGGAGCAGAGAGGGGTCATTTTCCAGGCCCTCATTTCCACACTTTTCCCTGCACGTGGAAGATTGGAAGGGGATTTTTTAGTTCTGCTGTGTGTATTTGAAGCTGAGGTGGTTTGTGTGTCACTCCCTGTGACATCTGGGGGGGACAACTCAGGGACCTGCTGTCTTCAGCACTCACCCTGTGTGCAGACCTCCCAGGGCAGAGCAGCTCTCCTGGGGCAGTCCCTGGGCAGGAGCATGGATTTCCCTATGTCATTGCTCCCCATTTGGGAGTACTTCAGTGCATGTTGTGTCTGCTGTCAGTTACTGGGAATTGCAAACACAGGGAGTCTATTTGCTTCTCCTCAGACACGGGAGGAAACAGGTTGGGTGTACAGATGCAAAGATGGAGTGGGCTTGTAGGCAAAGACACTACCAGTCCATCCCCACAGTGGATGTGTACGTGACAGTGCTTTATTGAAGGGAATTTCAGCTTCTGCTCAAATTGAGCTCCACACAAATCACAAATACCACCTTTACACATTTAGAAAAAAAATTCACGTCTCTTTCAGCATTTATTTCTCTAAGGAAAAAATGAAGAACAATAAAAAACCCTCAAAAAATGTATGTCAAAGTATGACCCCATCTACCCAGATTTACTGTGTTAGTTAGGAAAGCCTTGCAGAAAGCTGGTGCTTACTCACATGCTTTAATGATTGATAGTCACCTAACGCTAAAGCAGATTATTAATCTTTATTTACAAGAAAGCCTCCTGAGCACTAAAACAAGCACCATAAGCTTGGGGGTGCCTGGGGTAGGAATTGGCACTACTGGGAGCCTTGGTGCCGCAGACCTCCTGTGTCCTTATGGTGCCAATGTTGGCCCATCTGCAGTTCCCAAGAAACTGGTAGGTTTGCTGCAGCTCCTACCTACATGCACCTTGTACCCCACCAGTCCCAGGAGGACCATCTCAACCAAAATGTTGCTAATGATAGGTTTGAGATCTTACAACTCTCTGTCTCATCAGTTCTGGGTTAAACGTCTTTTGTTGTCTTTGCAAAGGTACCATAATTGATGGTTTGCTGAATCGTCGGTTTGGGGTTTAAGTGCTCAGGGACAGAAAACTCAGAGCATCCAGTGGCCTTGAATTCTTACTGCAAGCTGTGGCTTGTCAATGCAGAGAAATACAAACTGCAGCAAATGCATTGCACCTGCTCTCACCCTACATCAAAGAGCTAAAATACAAGAGAAGGATTTAATTCTGTAGTGAGTACAGAATATTAGCTTTCCTTTGACTGTCCCACAAAGCAGCATTGTGTCCATTTGTGCAGGGAGCAACCTTCACTTTCTGAAACCAGGCAATGGCCAAAAATTGAGTTATCATGGAGCCGTCCTGCAGCGAGGGCCCAGCTCCTTCTCACCGATTCCTGTGGATGGAAGTGTGGTTCATCCTTGCATGATGCTCATGGCTTTTCTGAGAGGCTTGCTATTTGGGCTGTGTTTTGAGCAATGGATGGATTCTAAGAGCTGCCTCAGAGATAGCTCTTATCCTTTGTCAGCTTGGCTCACAATATGTCTGGCTCCATTTTGCTGCGTGGTGTTGAAGGTTTCACTTCCCTATGTGAGCGAGGTCTGGTCTGGCTTGGCAGGGCACAAAGGAAGCACATGTAGGGCCCTCAGTGTCCCTGCTTAGTCTTGGACACAACCAAGGAGGCCAGTCCTCCTCCAAGGCAATCTTTGGGGTGCAGGAACGATGTCTAAAAGGACATGCTTGATAACCCTCAAGAGACACTGGCTTACACAAAGACTTGGCACGAGGCAGGAACAACAGAGGAGGCCAAATGGGTGCTGAGGGTGAGTGAGTTCCTCACCCGCCGCTGCCCCAGCATGGCAAAGGACCAGTTGGAGCTGTGCTCCTGGCTGTCACCCAAGGAGGAGCACTGCTCCTGGCCTCCAGGCCAGCAGCGGCCAGTGCTCCGCACCATCCTGGCCAGTGCCATCCTGAAACGCTCCCCAGCAAAGACATAGAGGAAGGGGTTGAGGCAGCTGTGGAGGAAGGCGATGCTCTGGGTGACCTGCAGCCCAATGTCCAGACCGTTGATGGTCTGGCAGCTGTACACCGCCCCGGTGTACATGTTGATGGTCTTGATCAGCAAAACAATGTTGTATGGGAACTGAGAGAGAAGAAAGGCGGTGATGATCATGGTGATGATCTTTAATGACTTCTGCTTTTGGCATCTTTTGGCTTGGAGGAGGGTGTGGATGATCAGGGTGTAGCAAATAACCATGACCAGAAGCGGGAGGAAGAAGCCTATAGTGATCTTCAGTGCCAGGACAGCAACTCTGAAGGCCGTGCCAATGTTGGGCGGGTATGTCATTTTGCACACCGTCACAGCACCAATCTGCTTGCTCTGGCTGTACATTATCTCAGGGAGGCACAGGCTGACAGATGCCAGCCAGACAGCCAAGCACACGAGTTTGCTGCGCAGGATCCGCCTTCGCTTGGAAGATTTAGCTTTTGTTGCTTGAACAATGGTGATGTACCTGTCAAAACTGATGCACGTTAGAAACAAGATGCAGCTGTAGAAGTTGATTTTATACATGCTATTGACGACTTTGCACATGAAATTTCTGAAGATCCATCCACTGGAGGCAGCCGTGGCCCAGAAAGGGAGGGTGAAAAGGAGGAGCAGATCTGCAACAGCCAAGTGCAGCAGGTAGCGGTCCATCATGCTCCTCCTGAAGCGGTATTTGCAGTAGATGAGGACAACCAAGGCATTTCCTACGGTGCCCACAAAGAAGATGAGCCAGAAAAACACGGGCAAGAAGGTTCGAGCAAACTGCCAGACCTGCCTCCTGTCACACATGAGCTCTGTGTCGTTGGCGGGGTTCCCAATGACAGACAGCCCTGCGCTGTCATTCCTGTAGTAATCCAGGCTGGTCTTGCCAGGGTGGGGAACCTGTGGTGGGACACTGGGTAAATTCACATTGAGGTGGCCCACGAGAGCATAAATTCACCAGATGTAGCTTAAGATCCCCAGCATCACACATTTTAGTTGGGAAAAGCCATCAGCAAAAAAAAAAAAAAAAAAAAGTGGGTTTCAGATGGCTTGAAATGCACCCACGCCCAAGAGAAGATTCAAATACATAAAAAATCCAGACTCAAAAAGACATGGGGAAGAAAGTTTTGTAACACTGCTATGGTGGGGCAGCACAACTGGCTCTTGGGAGTAGAAAACTGATGTTGGGGGAAGGAAAAAATGAGATTACATAGCAACATTTGTGTGTACTCACTGTGCTTGCAAGTGCCATCTTTACTCAATTTTTCCCTTGTCTTGAAGGAGATACTGCTATCTGGAGAGAAAAGATGGGAGCAAAAAAAACCAATTTGAAATGGCTCTGAAATAGGACTGTGACTCTCTTCTTCGATTATTTTATTTTAATATAAACCTCAGTGGGATTCTCAGCTAGCTTTCTGAACTGATGCTTTTTAACCCTCCTAGATGTGTCTGGCTGGTAGGTGGGCAAACCAAGCAGAAACCAATGTCTCTGAGATGTTTCCATTTTGCTAATAGAGAGGCAGAAAAGATCCTTAATGCAGGAAAAGCTAAGGGTAAATTAGGGCTTCAGCTTCTCTCTGCTGCTGTGCTGATTACACCCTTTGACTTACTAGGGTCAGTGTGATTTCATTTTTAATAAGATGTACAGTCCCCAGTGCGCACATCAAAAAAGAAAGCCATCTGAAAGCGCCATAACTTCATGAGAATGTTTAACGTCTCTCACGAATTGTCTAGCAACTAGCAAGGAAAAGCACCTGCCTTCTAGGGGTGGCTTGCAGCACTAAGCTATTTGCATCCCCTGCACTCTGCCTGCAGCATCTCCTATCTGTGGGCAGCCATGCTCCTCGCTGAGCCCCTCACAGCAGCTTGTTATGCCCCCAGACACTAGAAAGCCTGCTTTTTGCTGCAGATTGCTTTGTACAGGAGCCATCACAAAAGTCAGATGAGCCAGGTCACACAGCCACCACTGAGCTCAGCCTTTCCCTGGGGGAACAGCCCACATTCAGGTGCTTTCTCTTGGGTTTCTCCCATGCACCAGCCAAAAGTACCGTCCCCAGTGCTAACTGGGCAGGAGCTGATGCAGCAAGCGGGTCACCTCTGCATCCTGCACTCATGTTGGCTGTGCACTACCCAGCATAGGATGTTTGCAGCAAATATTTGTGAGGTTTTGGAATTTAGCCCAAAATATAAAGTTTTTGGATATTGAAAGCACAAACTAGGAACCAAGCCTTTCATTTCTGTCTCCATGCAGTAACTTCAGTGAATATGAAGTGAGATTTTCAGCACAAGTCCTTTTCAATGAAAGAACAGTAGTCTCAGTGCAGAGCACTGAGAGGAGATTGAAGAAATAAAAATAGCTACAAGTGTGTGCTCATAGTTTCTTTAATTTTCTACCAAGACACAGAATTACATGGAGGATTACGTTGGCCCCTGGAAGATCAATTACAGATCTCAATTTGGAACAATGTCATCCATGCCCTGATGCACAATTTCTGAAGTGCAGAACTCAAACTATATGTTGTTTGCCATCTATCCAAAGCAGCCTGCCATGGAAAGCACATGGCCAAAGCATAACAACGCCACTGCGTGGCTCAGAATTCACACCAGCAAAAACAGGCTGAAAAGAAATGCATCTATGTAACACGTACATTTAAATATTCAGACATATTTAAGAAATAAAGACCAGCTATAGCTTTGTACATATGAATGATGATGGACAGGGCTGCGTTAACTGGTAGAAAATGTTCTCATCTGTCACACACTGCAAAGCCCCCATCCCCATCCTGTTCCTGTACCCACCTGGCTCCAGCTGTGTTGCAGCACACAGGCTCACTCACATCACAGTAAATGCAGAGGCAGTGGGAAATCGGGCTGGGCTCGTACTGTCTGAGAAGCAAAGCATTGCGAAGTCAGCCTCAAGGCAGAAGAAGCACTGTACTAACCACAGCAGTGGCCTCTCACTGGGGTTTTGCCGCTGTGCTTGCCAGAAGTTATATTAATAGTAGCAGTCATTTGGTTTGGGACATAATGGTCATTCAGATACTATCAGTGAGCACTTGATTTTCTCCTACATGCTGCAGGCTTCAGAGTTCCTTAGCACATCCAGATCTCCTTGCAGAATTGGGAGATTTCACCAAAACCACCCACGACCAAACCAGACCTCAAGAAATAAGCTCTAGAGCTCACTGTGTATTGGTGAGTGCATGGAGCAAGATGCCATCCCAAGGCCTTATTTCCAAAATGTTGCTCTAGCATCTGCTGCCAGAGCTGGTTGGTTGGAGTCACTCTGGGAGCACTGCGTTATCTCCTACTCATCTTTGCTGCAATAGAAAAGATCCATCCTAACTTCGCGAGGTCAGAGGCTACCTTTCCAAATTAAAGAGCCTGTTTGTAACACAGATTCCCATCCACTGAGGAAAACGAGTTGGCTGAAAGTAGGGCACTCACCGGTGGTCGCTGTGGGGAGGTCGGCCGCACCGCTGCACGCCCTGCTCTGCGCAGCCACGCTGAGCCCCAGGCTTTGTAGGCTGCGTTGGGTGTGTGCTCCTGGACCCAGGCCCAATCAAACCTGTGAGCGGCTGTTCTCTCTGTGGTTTGCATGGTGGCTCAAACACAGATGTTTTTTTTTGTTTTTTGTTTTTTGTTCTTTTTTAATTTTTAATGTTTTTCTTGCTGTTGACTTTTCTGGTATGCTCCTTCAATAACACTGGTATGCTCCTTCTTTTATCACTATTTCCAACTGAGATGCACCAAAAAAAAGCAGGGGCTGCTGCCAGCATGGTCGCATCCCAATTAAAAAAAAACAATCACCGTGAAAAAAAATCCCCAAACAAGAACAGGGTCACCCAGGGAGCCACCAGTGTGCCCAGGGAGTGAGGTACCGGGTCCCATTCTTCTTGCTCTGAGTTGGCCCTTGGCTACAGACACTCGGTGATGTAGTGCCACTTGCCAGTGGCAACTGAGTGGATCCAGAGGATGTGTCTGAACGCATCAGGGCAGGCTGGCATGTGCAGGAGGGTGCAGAGTCACCTTGTGAAACCAGGGAAGCATAGGGCAGGATTGCAGGTAACAGCAGGATCCCTTTGCTGGTGGCACACCTTGTGTGAGAGCGCACAGAAATTCTGAAGAGGAAAGAAGGGATAAGTGGTGGATAAATGCATGAATCTGCACATCGTGTGTGTCTTCTTCTCTGCAAGCTGGCATGCAAATCACATTTATGTTCCCTTCTCTTTAGGAAGCCCAAACACCACGATCTTTGCTGAACTGCTGTACGGCTGATGCTGGTTTCACTCATCCCCAGCAAAATTTCCACAATGCCATTGAGGTCTAGCTCTAAGTAATTAATTAGTAATTAAAAGGAAAAAGTAACTAAGAGAACAGCAACAACTGGGACAGACTCTGGGCTGAACTCAGCTGTCATTGGTACCATCCTTCAACACTGTCATCACTGTGGCCTCAGGGCCAAGTGCGGCCATAGGGAAGCAGCCGGTGCTGCTAATGCCTTCTGCTCAACAGCAAAACCTGCCCCAGTGTTCTTCCATCACTGGAAGGAAGAGGGTAAGGACAGGGATTTCCACCCATACAGGATGTGCATTAAAATCAGGCAAAGTGCTCAGCTGGTTTGTAGCTGGGAGATGAAACCCCTCAGGGAAGCAAACAAGACCAGGGAAAAAATCTTAAATCTTAAATCTCAGAAACCAGAGCATGGGCTGTTGTTAATCCTGTTGGTTATTTTCTTTCTGCCATGCCCCATTTATTGTCATTGCAAAAATGACATTTTTGTCCACCACAGTGGGAACTAGGCCATAATAGCTTGAACGTTACACATCTTTCCACATTTCTGTCCAATCGTGTACCCTGTTCATACCCACGCTTAGTGCTGTCCACACATAATGAGCCTCAAAGCAAATCCTGTAATTTCCCTTCAGCTCATATCATTATGAAAGTGAGAACCACTGCTTTCCTCGCAAACATGTTGCTTTCACTCCTGCCAAAAGAACTTGAATTGCAGAATTTTTGTTTGTTTAACGTAAGTGAAAAATAAAGACCACTAGCATTTCTTACGCCTTCTTTCTCCAAGGTGTTTAATTTAAGACACAACTTGGTAGAGAGCTTTTAACTCCCTGCTTATCCCAGATATTAGCGACAGAGTTGAGCTCGGCTTGATACGCTCATCAGTGCTGGAAAGATTTTGCAGAAATAGAACATAGCTTGGGGTTACACCCTCTTCTGGGGCTGACCTCAAAGTTTCATTTTTCACAGCCAAAACTGTGCTGTGCTCACACTGAATCTGAATTGAAATACACACACACCCCTCTGGAAAAAAATACTGATTTTCCCCTGTTCCCTGCTTGGTCTGTTTATGGGAGGCTGTGGCCAGAATTGGCTCTTGGTGTGATAGGTGTCCTCTGGCCAGCAGCTGTGCCATGTTCCCGTGGAGCTCCCCATACAGCATGTGTCTGCTTCTGGCCTCCGCCATGAGCACACAGTAATTAAAATGATCAGACTTGTTTGTGAGTTAGATGTCAATTTTTGACGTGTTTATGACCTGCTTGTTTGGGGTTTCTTTGAGGGTGCATCCTGTTTTCACCACTTTCCTCACTAACCCAGTTGCAGGTGGAAGTGCAGGCTGCATTTCTGTGACTCCGATTCCAGATACAACATGCTGGTGCTCCAGAAAACCAGAAACTACTCACTCTGTCCTGTGAATGCATTAAACATCCAGGCTCCCCAGGGCAGCAGTCATGGTACTGAGTTCAAGAAACATCTGGACAGCACTCTCAGCCATATGGTCCGATTTTTGGGTGAAGCCATGAGGAGCCAGGATTTGGATTCAATGATCCTTATGGGTCCCTTACAACTTAGGATATTCTATGGCAGTTCCAGCTCGGTTCAGACCAAGAGTAGGGTAAGCTGCCACTGTGGGTACCATGAGATAGGTGATTTTTCCCGTGGCTGACGATCACTCTGGTGCTCTTTATCACTCTTCCTATCCTCAGACCAGACAAGCTAAACGGGAATAATGTCTGGGCTGTGGCTATCAAAAGGTAGGCTGGCTATCATCACCTACCTTCAGCATCATCACCAAAAAGCAACCTTTACCATGTCCAAAAAGTCTCTACCTTCTTTCTATTTACGCTTAACGTAGAAACATGAGACTCCTTAGCTGAGAACTGAGTTCAAAAGGCAGTTGAGTCACTTTGGTTGTCACCACTTTCTCAACACTTAGTCAGAACTGCACTCTTCTGCCTCTGCCTAAACTTTTAACCCCTGAGAAGCACTTCTTAGTAGTTTGGACCACCATAATGTCAACAAGGAACAAGACAGCCTTCAGCTGAAAAAAACAGGCCAGGACTCAGAGGAGTCCACGTGTAAAAGGCAAGAACAACTGTTTGAAGCTAGCTGCAGAGAAATGCCAGTGGAGCAGCAACAGCTGGCTATGACTGCAAGCTGATCAATGTCAGACACACTTACAAGGATGAAGAAGAAGGTGCAGTCATCTTAGGATCCTACAAAGTATCATCAAACCATTCCTCTTAGCAAGGTTACTGCTAAAACCCATGGAAGATTTGGTGGCAAAGAAAGCAGACCAGAGAAATGCTAATTGTAGGATCCCCACAGAAACAACAATCCCTGACTCACTGGCTTACCTCGCAGCAGTGCTATGAAGGGGGGCTGTCAGTCAGTGCAGTGCTGAGGTGAATGGAGGGCATCCCAGGCAATATTTCCAGGAGACAAAGCATTCAGCCTGTAGGTGAGAGCATCCTGCAGCAAAGCAGGCACCATAACTGCCAGCACACCTTGCCATTGGATGCTGTGAGCCTCAGCACATCGGTGCCTTGATGCAGTTAGGGATCAGAATAACCAGAATTATGAGTTAGATTCTTCACACTCACAGCTGTTTAAGATCTCATATCAGGGAGGAGGGCACATCAAAATATTGATTTGTGTTGATTTTTTTCTTTCCCCTTCCTTAGAGATTTACTTTCACTGGGACAAAGTACAGGTCTTTGGCTTCCTTTGGTACTACGCCATTACCTTCAGCCTTCAGGCAAGACTCTGGAAGGTGCAGTAGGTGAGGTGAACCTGAAGGGGCTTTGTCCTAAATCTGATAGCCCTGTCACACAGTGAAATATTCACTTGCTGAGGGACCTCGTGTATCCCACAGTAATGCTCAGACTGCATGATTCTGAAATTGGCAGGAGCTCATATAGTCCTCTGGGAAAAGTTATCTTCTGAAATACAGCCACAAGCTTTTGAACCCCAAACATTAAAAAAGTAAAACACCAGACAATGTCAGTAAAGTATCTAGCATTGTGAGTGCAAGGAATGAGATGGTCTTTAAATAACCCTTCCCATCCAAACCATCTATCTTCATGTCAGCTGGATCTCTAGGTGCAGGTATGTGGTTTCATCAGCCCACAGTTCTCCCACAGTTGGCTGATTGTTCCCAGCTCCACTCGTTCTTTTTCAGGGAGCCAGATGCCGTAACTCAAAACACCACAAATAATCTATTACCTTCCTATTTGTAGTGTAACTTTTATGAGAGGTCATCACCCTTTTACCCACTGAAAAAAGCAATTGTGAACTCCCAGATAAAAGGAGTGAGCAATATTGAAAGTAAAGTTACATCTGTGGCTGGATTGGCTGTAGAGCCAGCTCATATTGAAATTCATCACAGATTCAACTGCATCCTTCACCTGCTCATTAAGCCACAGTGTGGTTATGAGATACAAAGCTTGTGAAACTTCTTCTGTTGTAGGAGAGAGGTGGGGAGAGGGAAGAAAGAGCCCCATTTACAGATGAAGTGCCATTTCCTAAATTCACACCATCCAGCAGACACCCAGCATGTAAAATGAGCATTTTGCTTGACAACATAGAAACCTTCCCAAAATGTTCTCTCCCAGCAGTATCTTCAAAAGTACCACAGTGAGCTAAAGAAACAGGCTTTTGCTTCTTGAGTCCCCAGGAACTTGGGAGACAGCAGTGTGGCTTCCCAGGTGCATCTATGTGTGGATCTACTTGTGTCCATAAATATCTGTCACTATGCAAAATTTAGCCAGCAGATTGCAGGAGGAAAACAGAAGAGCCAGGTAAGATTGGACCAAGCTATGAACTCTCCCTAGGATGCTGGATGTACACTTGTTGCCATTCTTTGTCAACATATTTTTTGAATACATATATGGAGTCTTATAGAATGTTTCCATCTGGGAGTGGAATCGAATTTGGCATCCCGTGCCATCACCGCCTACCTGGCACAGACAGTTGTGAAGTAGTTTCCATAGAAAAATCTCTCAGAAAACAAGCACCATGCTCACCATGCTAGAGAGAAGTTGTACCATTTCAACTGCAACCTCTTTACTGGCTGGCTGGCTCTGTTCCTCCCAGGCTTTGGGCACACATTGCAGCAGCCAGTTTTCTGTTCTTGCTCCATTAGCTCCTCCTCACCTGCCCAGACGGAGCCTGCAGGCTTGTTGCAGAGCTGCCAAGTACTGCTCAAGTGCAGAAATCTTGATGGTAGTAGCACTTAGTACTGATGAGCCATAAGATGCTCATACAAGGTGCTTCTGACAAAGGAATCTCAAAGCATTTTTAAAAATTCAGTAAGTTTCCAAACACCACCTCTGCAAGGTCCTGGAACACAGTCATTTCTATTTTATGGAGAGAAAACTGAAGCACAGCAATTTGTTCAAGCTGACTCGGTAGGCAACTGACAGATCTAAACAGGAGTTGCAATTCCCCACTGACTTTTGAATGTATTAACAGCATGAGGGACCAGAAGCTCCCTGGGCATTACCCGATGTAGTCCTGGACATGCAGTTCATCTGCAGGCGTCTTCATTCCTTGACTACAAAACTAAAACAGATCAAAGGTGCAGGTGCATCAGTGCACTAATGCATTCACTATTACAATGTATTTTGAAGATGAAATTGTTGTAATAACTAAAAAACAAAGATAAAACTGATGCATTTTATAAGAACAAACACGTCCTGGTAATAGGCATGTTATAAACAGATGCACTAGATTACATAATATCTAATTTTTACCAACTTTACAAAAAGAATTGTAGAACTCACAATTTTTAAATCAACTGTACAAAGATAGAGGAAAAAAAAGCCAGGTTAATAAATAATGACCTATAAATAAATCGCACTAAAAGTGATATGCAAATTCTAGATATGAGTAAAACCAATTATTTCAAGGGGTTTTTTTAGAATGTTTCAAACTCTTTATTCCCAAGTATTACTGTTTCTGGGAAAACAATGTTTATTTCATCGGTGTATCTTCCATCTGGTTTTAATGATGATCATCAACACGATTTCTGTTTGCTGCTTTGGTTTTGTGTTTGTTTTATGGAAAGCAAGTAAAGCAAAACTTTTAGGAGTGTCCAGGTTTCAGTTTTAGTAAGCACTAACCATCATGTATGCATCTGTCCAACACAACATTACAAAGTTCCTTGACAGTTTTGGGTTCTTTCATAAAAGAGCTATTAATTCATATTTAAGAGTTACTACTTCTGTGGCAATTATTCACTGTGGCTTCAACAAGAAGAGACTCCAGCAGATCGCTAGATCTCAACATTTGTCATGCCAGAGTGGTATGAGATTGCTAGGTAGAGAATCAGAGGTACTATGTTTCAGCAGGATTACTTCAGCAACTTAGAAACATAGAATCATTAAGGTTGGACAAGACCACTAAGAACACCACCAACCCACCCCACCATGCCACTGCCCACGTCCCTCAGTGCCACATCCACACGGTTCTTCAGCGCCTCCAGGGACAGTGACTGCACCACCTCCCCGGGCAGCCTGTGCCACTGCCTCACTGCTCTTTTGGAGAAATTCTTCCTAATACCCAACCTGAACCTCCCCTGGTGCAATTCCCTCTCAGTCCCATCACTGTTACCTGGGAGCAGATGCTGACCCCCACCTCAGCACAGCCTCCTTTCAGGCAGCTGTAGAGAGCATCAGGTCTCCCCTGCGCCTCCTCTTCTCCAGACTGAACAATCCCAGCTCCCTCAGCTGCTCCCCATAAAACTTGTGCTCCAGACCCCTCACAGCTTTATTGCCCTTCTCTGAACACTCCAGGGTCTCGATGTCTTTCTTGTAGTGAGGGCCCAAAACTGAGCACAGCACTTGACGTGCAGCCTCACCAGTGGGACGATCACCTCCCTGCTGCTGATGGCCACACTATTTTTGATACAAGCCAGGATGCTGTTGGCCTTCTGGGCCACTTGTGCACTCTGCTGACACATTTTCAGCTAGCTGTTCACCAACATCCCCAGGTCCTTTTCCACCACGCAGCTTTCCAGTCACTCTGTCCCAAGCCTGGAGCACTGTATGGGGTTGCTGTGGCCAAAGCGCAGGACCCAGCACTTGACCTTGTTGAAGCCAGCACAACTGGCCTCAGTCCATCGAACCATCCTGGCCAGAAACCCTTGAAGGGCCTCCCCACCCTCGAGCAGATCAACACTCCCTCCCAGTTTGGTCTCACATGAAAACTTACTGAGGGTTGATCCCCTTGCCGAGATCATCAATAAAGATATTAAATGGGGTCATCCCCAATACAGATCCATGAGGAACACCACTTGTGACTGGACACCAAGTGGATTTAACTCCATTCACCATCACTCCCTGTGCCCATCCACCCAGCCGGTTTTTTACCCAGAGAAGAGTACATCAAATCGGATGAAATTTGCAGCGTGTCATGCCGTAACACAGTGCAAAAATCTCAGTGCCAAATAGGGCTCTTAGAACTGGTTTACCAATCAGAAAGCTTACTAACTCATGTGCACTTAATCTTTTTTAATTACAACTTCCCATCCATTTTGCACACCTCTGCCCACATGCTGTGATTTCTATCTCCAGGATAGACAAGGAGGGGATGTGGCATACAGCACAGCAAGCCAGGAGACAGGTGGAGGACAAAAGATTTGCAGCGGTGCCTGGCAAAGTGCATCGGCTGTGGGAAGGAGAGGAATCAGATCAACATTCGGGTGACAGGTCAACCTGCTGGTAAGAGGTCAACCTTCCTAGCTGCAGCCTCCTGCAGCCCGATGGCCTTGTTTTCCTTAGCCATGCGCTTCAACTGAGATTAAAAGCATCCTCTAGGAAGACTGAAATGATGGCCATTTTTGGAAAAACAAACAAACAAATAAAAAAACATCGCTGATGATGCTCAGCGGCAACGCCGCTTGGGCTGCGCGGCGATCAGCGCGCATGCGCGCACGGTGACGCGCAGGGGATAACGCCAGGAGGGGGGCGGCCGGCGCTCGTGACGTATGCGGGCCGCAGCCAATAGGAGAGCGGCGAGGGCGCTCGCGAGGCTGCGTTCTCCATGGCAACGGCCGGCCTGGAGTCAGAACCGCCCCAACCGCCGCCTCGGCTGCCGCGTCGCCATGGTGAGTGCCGGGCTGTGGGGCTGCCGCCGGGCGCGGAACTCTGGCCGGCCGGCTGACCGCGGAGCTTGCTTTATTTCCCCCCGTTGCCTTTGCTCTCGAGCTCTGTGCTCCATTGCCAGCCCTGAAGGATACGTTGTCCAGCTGCAGACCTGTACGTCCCTTTCTACTTCTTTCAGTGTGTGCTTTCTGTATGCTCCCATCCTTATCTGCAGGCAGAGCTGGGCCTTAACGAGCACCACCAGAACGAAGCCATCAACTACATGCGCTTTGCTCGCTTCAAGCGAGGCCTGTGTCTCAAAACGGTGGATTCGTGCTTCCAGGACCTTAAGGACAGCAGGTACCTGGGGGTCTGTGTTGTGTGGTACCATGGAGCACAGGCACAGCCAGCTCTAATGGAAACAACCACAGGTTGAAATGCTTTAGGGGATGGCTTTTCTTACCTTACAGTTGTGTGTTCTTATTGATGAAGGAATGTTTTAATTGCTTTAATGGTTTTAAGTTGAAGGAAGGAAGATTTATGCTGGATGTCAGGGGGAAATTCTTTACAGAGAGAGTAGTGAGGTGCTGGAACAGCTGCCCAGAGAGGCTGTGGATGCCCCGACCCTGGA